TTTTTGTATTTCTTTGCTTACTTGTTCTTGATCCTCTACTTTATCTTTGAGTCCTGGTATTTTATCTTCTGCTTAATTCTTTGTACTTACAAGGCTTCCTTTGAGTTTTCTAGCTGAATTATTGGGTTTGTCACTTTCATCTTCATTTCAACTTGATGCATTTTCAATGTTTCTGTCTCCTCATTGAAATCCATTCTCAACTCTTTTTATTATTTCAAGAAGTCTCATGTTTGTGTTTTCTTGGGCATCACTCAGGCATTTATTCTATATCAGCTGTGCTCTGATTTCATTGAGCTCTTTGATGAAGTTTATGATTTTTCTCAGGAGGTTTTGAGACAGAGTCTTTCTTCATAGCCCTGGTTTTCATGAACTCACTATGTAGACCAGGCTAGCCTCAAAGTCACAGTCACCTGCCTACCTCTGCCTCTTGAATACTAGGATCAAAGGAATGTGCCATGCCCAAAAGGTTTATTTATTCCTGTGTCCTGGTGTTTGTCTAAGAAATTTTTATTGGCAAGCATTTCTATAGGACTGATGGATTTTGAAGAGACTATACTGTTTTGATCTTTCATATTTTTTTTTTGGTATTTTTGCAATGAGATCTGAGCATATAGGAGTCCTTTGTTCTAAGTCTGATATGGATAGAACAACTTGGGGGCAGAATTGAGGAGGTATGGGTAAGTTGGGCCTAGAGGTTGGAATATGGCTTTAGTGAAATGAAATCAGATCGACATAGGAGATGGTGCTGGTTTATAGGATTTGCTTCCTGGCCCAAGCCTGGAGTGTGTGAGGGTAAATCTGGCTGGGTAGAAAGGTTGTATGTGGTGTGAGAGGGGGCCTGTGTGTTTGGAGATAGGTAAGGAGGTCCTATATGAATACTAGAGATTGTTTGTGATACAGGCAGGGGAGGGCAGATTAGTTTGGGGCACTGGATGTGGAATCCAGACTAGATCTGGCTGGCTGGGCTGGGCTAGACCCTGGAGAAGGAGGTGGAAAGTCTGGCTGGGTGCAGAGGTTAGAGTGGCACCTGTGTTTGGTAACAGGTAGGGCAGGTCCTGGTAGAAGCCTAGAAGTTGGTGGTGATTTAGGTAGGTGTGGCCAGACTAGGCTAGGAGACTTGATGTGAGACCTGGGCTAGAACTGGTAGGTTAACAAGGAGTTATTGATGGAGAGGTCAGTCCCTGGAGATGTATGTGGGAAATCTGTCTAGAAGATTGATTTTTTTTTAACATATGCACGGGGCTGGGAGATAGAGTACTTGATGTTCTTGCAGAGGACCCAGTTTGGTCCTGACATTTCACAGTCAACTGTAACTTCAGTTATATGAAATTAGACACTACCTTCTGACCTCTATTTGCATCAGGCACACACTTGGTACACACACAGGCATGCATAAAAAACACTCATAAAAATAAAATAGATAAATATAAAAACAATATGTTGGAATCATAAGGTCATACTTAAAAAAACTCACAGTCTACTAAATTGGGAAACCTAAAAAATGGATAAAATTTTCAATAGATATTACTTACTGAAGGTCCATCAAGATCAGATAAACAATTTAAATAGACCTGTAATCCCTAGTGAAATAGAAGCAGTCATTAAAAGTCTCCCAACCAAAAAAAATCTCAGGGCCAGATGATTTTAGTGTAGAATTCTACCAGACTTTCAAAGATAGTTAATGTGAATACTCCACAATTTATTCCACAAAGTACACACAGAAGGAGAATTGCTCATTTTATGAGACCACAGTTACTCTAATACCCAAACTACATAAAGACTCAACAAGGAAAGAGAATTACAGTCTAACTTACATTATAAACATAGAAGCATAAATTCTCAATCAAATACTTGCAAACTAAAATCAAGAACACATCAAAAAGATAATCTTCCATGATCAAGTGGGCTTCATCCCAGAGATGCAGAGATGGTTCAACATACAGAAATCAGTAAATGTAATCCACCATATAAAAAAACTGAAAAAAAACCCCACATGATCATCTCACTAGATTCCAAAAGCCTTTGACAAAATCCAGTACCTGTTCATGATAAAAGTTCTGAAGAGAACAGGGACACAAGGTGTAAACAGACATTTCCTGTCCTGTCCACCTGTTCCCAAATACCTGGCAGCTGCTTTCCAAATAATTGAATTGAAGACTTACTATAAATGATAAATGGTTGGTTCATAGCTCAGGCTTCTTACTAGCTTACTCCTACATTTAAATTAACCCATTTATATTAATCTATGTATTGCTACTTAGCTCATGGCTTTACCTGTCCTCTAGCATGTCATGCTTCCTGGGCGGCTGGCTGGTGTCTCCTGACTCTATCGTCCTTCTTCCCATTATTCTCAGTTTGGCTTTCCTGCCTAACTTCCTGCCCAGCTACTGGCCTGCCAGCTTTTTATTAACCAATAAGAGTAATACATATTCATAGTGTAGAAAAGGATTGTTCCACAGCAATGACAGACATACCTAAATACAATAAAGACAGTTTACAGCAAGCCTATAGCCAACATCAAATACAATGGGAGAAAAACTCAAAGCAATTCCACTAAAATCTGGGACAAGATAAAGTTGTTCACTCTTTCTCTCTCTACTCAATATTGTACTTGAAGTTTTAGTTAGAGAAATAAGACAACTGAAGGAGATCAAGGAGATGCAAATTGGAAAGGAAGAAGTCAAAGTATCTTTATTTGCCGATGATATGATAGTGTATGTGTGACCCTAAAATTCCCACCAGGGAATTCCTACAGCTGATAAAGAACTGTAGTGAAGTGGCTGGATACAAGATTAATTAAAAAAAAACAAACAAACCAGTAGCCCTCCTATATACAAATGACAAATGGACTGAGAAAGGAATCAGGAAAACAACACCCTTTACAATAGTCTCAAACAATATAAAATATCTTGGAGTATGTTTAACCAAGCAAGTGAAGGACTTGTATGACTAAAACTTCAAGTCTTTGAAGAAAAAAATTGGAGAAGATATCAGAAGATGAAAAGATCTTCCATGCTCTTGGATAGGTAGGATCAACATAGTAAAAAATGGCAATCTTACCAAGAGCAGTGTACAGATTCAATGCAATCCCTATCAAAGTCCCAACACAATTCTTCACAGACCTCAAAAGAACAATACTCAACTTCATATGGAAAACAAAAAGTCCAGTAGGGCTAAAACAATACTGTACAATAAAGGAACTCCCGTTTTGTGTGTTTGGAACCTTTTGTTAAGCTTTTTTTTTAAGTCTTTTTATTATTTTCTCAATGAGCAAGTAGATATGTAGGCAATGAATATAGGAAGTATTAGGTCAAAAGAATAAACTTACAGTTACATAATGTGAACAAGTCTGGAGATGTAATATACAGCATGAGAACTATACTTAAAATTATTATAGCTGTATGTAGGAGCATACACCTGAAATCCAAGCATTTGAGAATCTGAAGCAGGAGAATTTCTACAAGTCTGAGGCAAGTCTTGGCAACATCTTTATCTCTTTGTGTGTGTGTGTGTGTGTGTGTGTGTGTGTGTGTGTGTGTGTGTGATCTATAACCTATATATATCATCTATACACACATATCTATATCCATATCTAATATCTGTATCTACCTATCTAGATATAATATATAATCTATATATATAATTTATACATCTATCTATCTGTCTGTCTGTCTATCTGTCTATATCTCCAAACAGCATCCAATTATATACTGAAAATTTGCCACAAGAGTGAATTTTAGGCACTCATAAAAAATAAGCTAAGTATAGAAGTAATGGTTATGCTAATTTGCTTCACTGTACTAATAATTTCATTGTGCATGTATATGTTTATATATCATGTATATTGTATAGCTTAAATATGTAGAATATAAATAAAATATATTTCTGAAATGTCTGCAAATTGCTGATCTTCCATGGAACTATGGGCTTTCTACTTGGCTATTAGGAGGCACATGGCATCAGTTCATCTCATTTTGGTATATTAACTTTGGACAATTGTAAAGGGGGTAGAAATTGGTACATTTTCCTTTGAAATTAATAAATATATTGTTAGGAGATACTTTAAGACAGTTTTAAAACACACACACACATATGTACACACACACACACACACACATACATTCACAAGGCTTCACTCTTGAGTAAAGAACTATAGGCTACTGAAGAAAGCTGAGAGTGGGAGAGGTGTTCTTTCCCAGGGAAGAATACGCTAATAGGTTGTCCAATGTCAAACTATAAGCCCTGAAACATACATACAAGTTACATTATATGAACTGAATAGGTTATATTTGGAAATACATACACACATATACATATATATGCAATAACAGTGAAAAAAGAGGCCATGAATTTGAAGGAGAGTAAGAAGGGATATATGAGAGGGTTTAGAGAGAGGAAAGGGGGAGAAAAATGTTGCAATTGCATTATAATCTCAAATAAAATATTTTTATTAATTAGAAATGTATATATAATAAATCAGGGTCTTACATCCCAGGCTGGCTTAAAACTGCATAACCAAGGATGACCTTGAGATCTTGATGCTTCTGTTTCCAGCTCCCAGGTGCTTGGGATCACAGGAATGCACCACCATGCCAAGTTTATGGGTGTTGGTGATTAAACCCAGGGCTTTATGAATAAAGCACTGCAGAAGCTGAGCCACATCCTCAATCCCTCACTCTGTTTAATTACAATGTCTTGATTCCTTGAGGAGCATTTTCACAAGGCATGCAATTCAATTTCACAGTGTAACAAAGGCCTTCATGTTCTTCAATAAGATAAATTCACTGTAGTGGGTGAGTCTAAAGGAAAAGCTGAAGGTATAGTTAGATATTCCCCTTTGCATATTTTCACATTGTTATTTATAGAGGTAAAGATTTGAAACATTCTAAAATGGCTAAATGTATTATAGTATACCTGTAGCAGGATATATTTTACAAGTACTTAAAATGAAAAATTTAGGATGAACCATAAAGAACAACTCTAGAACTAACAAGAATTTTTTTCTGCTCATTTTGCCCAGTCATGGGAAAATTAGGAATTCAATCATTCCAAACCCATGACCATACAAAGACTCAGCCTCTATTTTTTATCTACTTTTATTGTCCTGATCCATAGACTCTTCATGGCTTTCTTCACTTCTGCATTTCTCAGGGAGTAGATGATAGGGTTGAGGAGGGGAGTTATCACTGTGTAGAACACAGCTATCATCTTGTCTACAGGCAGTGTGGCTGAAGGTCTCAGATAGATGAAGACGCAGGGTGCAAAGAATAAGACAACTACAGTGACATGGGACCCACAGGTGGACAGAGCTTTGCGTCGTCCCTCAGAACTCTGAGTCCTCAGATGAAACAAGATGACCACATAGGATGCTAAGAGGACCACAAAACTGATCACAGACAGTGTACCCCCATTGGCAACAATCAGCAGACCAATGAGAAAAGTATCTGAGCAGGCAAGTTTAAGCACAGGAAGCAAATCACAGAAATAATGGTCAATGACATTGGGACCACAGAAGGGCAAGCGGAAGATGAGAAGGATCTGGGCAAAGGAGTGTACAAAGCCTCCCACCCAAGCTGTTCCCACAAGGACAGCACACACCTGTCGGTTCATGATGCTGGTGTAGTGCAGGGGCTTGCAGATGGCCACATAGCGGTCATAGGCCATCACTGTGAGCAGGAACATCTCAATGCCACCAAAGAAGTGGATGAAGAAGAGCTGTGTCACGCAGCCCCACACAGATATGGATTTCTTCTCAGCTAGGAGATCCAAGATGAGTTTGGGGACTGTTGTAGAGGAGTAGCAGATCTCCACGAAGGAGAAGTAGCTGAGGAAGAAGTACATGGGGGATCCAAGACTTCTGCTGGCTGAGACAGTGACCACCATGAGGAGGTTCCCCAGCACAATGGCTGTATACAAGAGCAGAAATATCACAAAGCAAACTCTCTGTACCTCTTGATTGGGAGAGAGTCCCAGAAAAATGAACTCAGTCACATTGCGTATGCTAGCCATAAGGGAGCAAGTTAGATGGTATGACCTGAAATAATATGAAAGGTGAGGAGTTAGCAACATGGAGAAGGAAGAGCATGCCACGAAGACTGAGAGAAAGTGAAAATGTATTGTGTGTGGCTGGAATAGTCGGGAAATAGCAAAGCATGCTATAGGAGAGACAACACCATCAGTATCTGAAGGACTCTTAGGGACTTTGGGCTTTATCCTGAAGCCAAGGGCCATCAGCGAGAATGTCTATTATCCAGGCTGAAGGGAGGAGGGGACTGGACTTGCCTCAGCTGAATCTACCAGGCTAAGCTGAATCCCTGGGGGAGTCCTTGCTCTGGAGGAGATGGGAACGGGGGTGGGCTGGTGAGAGGGAAGGGGGTGGGTGGGAGGAGGGAGGACAGGGGAATCTGTGGCTGATATGTAAAATTAAATTAAATTATAAAATAAAGGAGAAAAAAAGAAAAAAAAAAGAATATTCCACACACACACACACACACACACACACACACACACACACTAAAAGAATGTCTATTATCCAATGAGTAAGTCACGTTGTATGCAGAAAGTAGAGCTGTGGAAACGAATCAACGAAGGAAAGATTAGAAAGTTGTATTTCCTCATCAAGAAGAGGCTGCCAGGACACTGTTTCCTTCTGTGTTGCATGTCTTTCTATTGCCTTTGAGTGGATTGTTAGTATTCTTTCTCCTGAAGTCTTCCTTTGTTACTTCTTCCCTTGGTTTGCAGAATGAAGTTCTCAACCATTTAATATATGGTATTAGTGTTTTCAGAATAGATAACCCTGGTGTAGCTCCCTTGATGCTCAGTATTCCTTAAGGGGATTAGAGCTCACCACAGACATGGCTGTGACTGTACTTCCTTTTAATTCTTGTCCTTAGTCTATGTTTGATTACTTATTGACCTTTTCTTTTCCCTTCACTTCAATCCATTTACTTTTCTTCTCTCTCCTGGCACTTTGCCTCTAATTCTATTAGTAGCAGCAATAGTCCAATATCCTTCCTCAGGGCCCAGCTATATAACACCTCAGGGTGTTACCCGGACTGCATAGTGACTGACTTGAAAACTATGCTTTCTTTTCCAATATAGCTGAGACTGTGTGCATTAACACAGCCTTTCCTTCAGCGAAACTCCAGAGCTCCCGAGGTTAGAGCAAGGTGGTCTGTCCATCTCACTAAAGCTCTCTCCTTGCTGATTCAGGCAAGTGATGAAGACCTCTGCAGACTAGAGGGAACTCAGGAAATACACCTTACAATTATAGACACAGAGTGTGGAGAGCAGGCATAAATCCCCAGGTCATTAGACAATCCTCTCAGGAAGCTGCTTGCAGAGGAAAGAGCTGGGTTCACATTCAGCTGTTCTCTGGTAGTAACTTCTGTAATGTCTACAGAGTTCTTCAAGTTTTCAGATATTCAAGATCCAGATTATAATGTGCAGATGGCACACACTTCAAAGGAAGAGACTGCAAATCCTAGGTCCTGTCCCATTTTCCCATAAGCTAACTTCTAGTCCTTTAATTTCTGGGGTACCTCTCAGAGATGAGAAGCCTCCTCCCTAATTCATAGGTCCTTGCAGCCACTGTGCCTTCTCTCAGGACACTGTGCAACCGTAGCACTTATCACAGTGAATGATATTGCCTACTGCAGTATGAGTTCCCGGAGGACAGAGTGTGCCTTGCTCTTCATTTCGTCTCCAATGCTCACTGAAAGTCGATATCATGAGATCGTCTTCAGTGAAGACCAGGGGAATCAATGAACAGTTGATATCTAAACTTAGTCTCCTTAGTCTGGGGTTCTGCACATTGCAGGTATTCAGTAACTACTGAAGGAGGAAAAGTCTCCATAGTATGATATCATATATGATATCATATATGATATAATATCATACCTTATTCATCCTAGAGTCCCACCCAGTGTCCAGACAGTGTTTTTTGACACATATTCATATAGGCATACTCTGAGAAATGCCAGGTGTCTCATGGCACCATTCTCTTTACTTTCAAAGTGGAACAAACTATCACAGCTACATTAAGCCTATGGCCCAAAGCTCACACTAGTGTTTCAGTTACTTGGCTGTTCTGACCACAGTGATGTTTTATGTTCCTAACACAAATAACTGTGAGAACAGCCCTGGCTAATGATTGCTTCCCAGTTACCTGATGGAGATGCATAGGCCAGGTATGGCCCAGACTCCTGTCTCAATGGAGTCACAAGATGAGGATTTGTTCCCATGCAGACTTAGACTTGGAAATGTGGAGATCCACAGCCTCAACTTCCTGTGAATTAAAAAGCAAAGCAAAGCAGATTTGCTTCTCAGATGTTTCTCAGAGAACTAAGAACCCTGGAAACTCAGCTTTAAGTTCAAGAGAAGCTGGGGAGACGTCATGATTAAGTGAGAGATGGGGAGTCCTTGGGGACCTTCATTTTCACCCCTTCCTAATTAGGGAAAATGTCTTACTGGAAGCAGGACCCCAAAGTCCCTATGGGGAACAACTTCAGAAATCAGTGAGAAATGTGGAAAAGCAGAACTCACCCACTGTTCAGAGAGCACTTATGTGTGTGGGGAGATCTCAGCTGCACACGAGAAACTTAGTCATGTGACTTTACAGAAAATTTTATCTTTTAAAGATGGCCCAGAGATTTTTGGAACCACAGGAGTGAGAACACTACTTGTAATGAATTAGATGCATAGGTCAGTGGCTTTCAGCTGGGGGTGATTGTGCCTGTATAAGACTTTTGGTAATGCTTAGGGATATTTTTCCTTTGACCAGCCTTGTTGGGGAGGGCGAATGCCACTGATGTCAAGGAGGCAGAGGTTAGAGATTCATGAAGTAACCTACAATGCATAGGATGTTCCTGTACAGCAGAATATTCTAACCCAAGGAGTCCACAGATTTGTTGTGATGCCCTACTATTGATAAACAAAAATTTCCTTGAATAGATAATCATTTAAATTGGGTGATGAATGTATGAGAGTTTATTACAGAGCTTTGACAATATCTGCTTGTGTTTTAAGCTTCCTGTGGTAAGATTAAAAAAAAAACAAAAATGATCTCACTATGCAACCCTGTCTAGCCTGGAACTCTAGGTAGATCAGGGTGGTCTTAAATTCAGAGATCTACCGATCTCTGCCTCCTGAGTGCTGCTGGGATTAAGGATATGCGCCTCTATGCTTGGTGAATACAGAAAATTTTTAGGGTAGTGAAAATATGCTATCATGATGGTTGTATGTCATCGTCCATTTGTGTGTGTACAAACCTTGGGGGTGTGCAACAGCTAGAATAGACCAAAGTAAATTATAGACGTTGGGTGACAATGATGTGTCTGGTTGACAGTGGGGGAGGTGAACACACAGGTGATGGGATAGGGAACATATAGGAAATGCCTATATTTTCTTAAATTCTGAGAACCTAAAACTGATCTAATAAAATCTGTTAAAGGGTAAAAAAAAATCAAGTGAAAGTAAACAAGGTATTTTAAGTCTTACTAATAATTAATAAGAAGACTATGAGATGTCAAGATTTAATAAATGTTTTGAAATAATTGATTTTGAATATGCAGATATAGAATCAAGCATTACATTTTATATAGAGAGGAATGCAGGGAAGACTGGTGAATAATTACATCAAAACATTCAATAGTTAATGAAAACCTGTACATATTCCCTAATGTGTTTCTGTGGAGTTGAGTTTCTGTGAAAGTCTGCCAGACCCAATATTTTCTGTATTATAGGATTCTGTTTAATAAGTCTAAGCAAGGTAGAATTCTTTTAATTTTAATTTTTAAAATTTATATGTATGGTTGTTTGCCTCCATGTATGTCTGTGCCTGTGGAGGCAGGAAGAGGACATCAGATCCCATGTAACTGGAGTTATAGATGTTTGTAAGCCACCGTGTGGGTGCTAAGAATCAAACCCAGGTCTTCTGCAAGAGCAACACGTACCTTTATTCACTAAGCCATCTCTCTGGCACCAGGAAGGTAGATTTAAAAAAATGTGTGCTCATGAGTATGTATTGTAGGAACCTGTCTTTGTTAAATGTTTGCAGTAAAAAATGTTTTTCTCCAAAATTTATAAATGGTGCTTGTCACGACAGATTATTCTTGTTTCTAAGCTGGTGGTGAAGATTCAGTCATCGAATATGACTTTGTTTACCAGCTGCAGTTCAACCCTAGTGCTTTCTTATTTAGAATTAAGAATATAAGTATATTTGCACATGAAATGAGTAAATGGATTTATCAGCTTATGCCTATATTTTTAAGGCGTTTCTTGAAGATTTTACTTATGACAGTCAAAATGAAACCACTCCAACACCCAGTGAATATTTTTAAAATTATGATGAATTCATGCAATAGGATATTCCATATAAAAATGAACTATTGGGCTGGAGAGATGGCTCAGTTGATAAAGTGCTTTCCATGAATGTATGAGGATCTGAGTTCAGATCCCTAGAATCCATAAAAATCTAGGTGCATGTCTTAACCCTGGCACAGTGCTCGGAGATGGGGTGCAAGGCATAGACAGGAGAATCTTTGGGCTTTCTAGCCAGCGAGCCTAGCTGAACTGATGAGCTCTGGTTAAGTGAGAGGCTTTGTTGCAATAAAAAAAAAATCTCTTTCAGATTTTGTTCTTTACAGCTAAAAACTAATCCAAGTGATGTTTTTGACTTCTATTATAAAATTATACATTATGAACCATTAATATTTTATTAATATCACAGGTTTTCTATGATGAGACTATAAATGAAGCAATAGATATTAAGGGACTTTGAAAGTGTACAAGCTACTATCCAAATATAAGGCTTATAAATTACTTTACTAACAAATTCAAATATTGTGGTTGGGCATTTCCATATAGCTTATGAAGTTGCTAATGTTTCACTGCAAGATAATATATTAATGCAACTTCTATATCTCAGAGGTAAATTCCAAGAAAATTGTTTCTTTTTCCTTCAAGGAGAATAATTTTATTACCTCTACATGTTTTGGCTAATTACTTTTACCTTAAATAAACACTACTAGTGA